TGATGCCTTGTCCAGGCAATTTGATAATGAGTCAGCTCCGGAAAAGATGACATCTCCTATTATTCCAGCAGAGTGTATTATTGCTACTACTGTCCTCTCACTGTCTTCTCCACTGCTTTGCACCATACTGGAGGCCCAGCCTCAGGCGCCCAGTGGTAAACCGTGTGATAAACTGTTCGTTCCCCTATGTGAAAGGGTTAATATCATGAAAGTGTTCCATGACAATATAACTGCTGGACACCTGGGCATCAATAAGTCCACTGCCGCGATCACTAGATCATTTTGGTGGGATTCACTCAAGAAAGATGTAAAGGAGTATGTGCAGGCATGTTCTGTGTGTGCAGTTTCTAAGGTGACTCATGCACTTCCTTGTGGCCTGTTGCAGCCTCTTCCTGTTCCTGAGATTCCATGGTCCCACCTATCCATGGACTTTATTGTTGAGCTTCCTAGCTCTGCTGGGTCCACTACTATTCTCATGGTTGTAGACCGATTTTCTAAGATGGCTCACTTCATTCCTCTCAAGAAGTTGCCATCTTCGCAAGATTTGGTCCTAATTTTCATACGTGAAATTGTCCGCTTGCATGGCATCCCCCACAATATTGTGTCTGATAGGGGCTCTCAGTTTGTGTCCAGGTTCTGGAGGGCGTTCAGTAAACAATTGGGGATTGATCTCTTCTTCTCCTCCTCCTACCATCCACAGACCAATGGTACAGCTGAGAGGGCTAACCAGTCATTAGAAGTTTATTTGCGTTGTTTTATTAATAGCACACAAGACAATTGGTCCGAACTACTCCCGTGGGCCGAGTTCGCTAGAAACAATGCTGTTCATGACTCCTCTGGGCACAGTCCATTTTTGTCAATAATGGTAGGCATCCTACGGTTCTCCCTGCGGTATTTTCTGATACTGCCATTCCTGCTCTGGATGAGCGTCTGGCCTCCATTCGAGATACCTGGGTTAAGGTTCAAACTGCTCTAGGGGCTGCTGCTGAACGCTTCAAACATTTTGCTGATAAGCGTAGGAGTGCCAACCCGGTGTACCAAGTGGGGGACCGGGTTTGGTTGTCATCTCGCAACATCAAGCTTAAGGTCCCTAGCATGAAGTTGCCCCCAGATTCCTTGGTCCCTATAGAGTGCTTCGTAGGATCAATCCAGTGTCTTACTCTCTGGCTCTTCCTGCATCTTTAGGGATTCCCAACACTTTTCATGTGTCCTTCCTCAAACCTCTTGTCTGCAATAGATATACTGTTCCTTGTGTTCCTCCCCCTCCGGTGGTGGTGGGTGGTCAGGAAGAGTATGAGGTATCTTCTATCGTGGATTCTAGGTTTTCTCGGGGCACATTACAGTACTTGGTTGTTTGGAAAGGTTACGGTCCTGCTGATTGTTCTTGGGTTTCGGCTCCTGACCTGCATGCGGGCCGTAAGATCCGCGCTTTTCATGCTAAATTTCCTCTCAAGCCTGGTCCTGTCCGCCCGGTGGGCGTTCTTCAGGTGGGGGTAATGTCACATATTCATCCGCTTATAGAAATGTGGTTAATGACATTTACTGTCCACACAGGAAAAGTTGTGCCGAGCAGCAACCTAATCCACAGAAGGGTTAATTCTGAGCAGTAATTGTGCAAATGAAACCTGGTGTCATGTATTCATCCGCTTAGAGAAAAGTGATTAATGGCATTTACTGTCCACACAGGAAAAGTTGTGCCGAGCAGCAACCTAATCCACAGAAGGGTTAATGCTGAGCAGCAATTATGCAAATGAAATCTGGTAACTGACTTTGGGGTCAAAGGCCGGTTACAGCCTATCAGAACTAAAGGAGGGGTATTTAGGCCCAGTTCTCAGCCTGCTCAGTGCCCTGTCGTGGTTTCCCTTGAGGTTGTCTGAGAGCGCGTTCCTGTTTATAGTTTTCTACCTGGTTTTTGACTTTGGCTTTGTTTATTGACTTCTCTATATTCTGGTATCCTGACTCCTGGCTTTCCTCATCGCTGTGTCCCTTTCTGTGTTCCCTGACCTCGGCTAGTATTTTTGACTATTCTTTGTACGGTAAATCCGGCCATTCTAAGGACCGGTAATACGTTACTTATTTGTCATCCATGCTGTACAGTTCTACGTGCTGGATCAAACAGTAATCCTGACACTTTGTCAGTGTGTGTGTGTGTCTGTTAGTGTGTGTGTGTCTGTCAGTGTGTCTGTATGTGTGTGTCTGTCTGTGAGAGTATGTGTGTGTGTGTGTGTCTGCGAGTATGTGTGTGTGTCAGTGTGCATGTGTCTGTCAGTGAGTATGTGTCTGTATGTGTGTGTCTGTCAGTGAGTGTGTGTGTGTCAGTGTGTGTCTGTCACTGTGTCTGTATGTGTGTGTCTGTCAGTGAGTATATGTGTGTATCTGTCTGTGTGTGTGCGTGTCTGTGAGTGTGTACCTGTCTGTGTGTGTGTTGGTCAGTGTTGCATTGGCTGCGACTGGACAGTGGAGTACCTGGAGGTGCGTGGAGGCACGCAACCCCACGTGACATTGACGTGCTCCACCTTCACAGGGTTTTAAACAAATGCAGGAGGATCAGATTTGGTACAGGGTGGTAGAGGGAGTGCTGTGGTTTAGTAGAAGGGGGACTGGGATTTAGTAGAGGGGAAGCTGTTTTTTTTATATACTGTACTTTTTAAAATAAACCTACGTTTCTATGAAAATGTAAGGTATTTTTTTTTTTGTTGCCCACATAAACTTAAACCTTGTTTATGTGGCCCGTGCCAGACTTTGAGTTTGACATGCTTGATATAGATGAATTAACTCCACACTGAGAATACATTGGATATATGTGGCTGCACTGCAACAAAGTTGAGCAATACAAAAGCACTTAAAAACCCCAAAATTGTCCTGTGTTTTAAAAGGAACTGTCAAGTCCTCACTTTTACCACAACCAAATAGCTAAATAAAAGTTAGCCATTGGTTGCGTTGTTTTTAAACATTTTCTCTTTATTTTTTAACTTGCATAAATATATAAATCCATAATGGACAGCACGTGCGGACTTATGGCCTTGTAACATAGCATTCAGGGTGCCCATGTGCACATACAGAATTTTAATACTAAATACCTGAGCGGGTTTGCGCAACCCAAGGCATCATGGGTTGGAGTAGGCTGTAGCCCCTGAAATGTGGAAGTACAGCCAGTGAAAGAACACATTTTACCTACCTCTGCTACTCTATTCAACCCAGTAAACGCTGTAATAGAGTTTATTGAGGTGAAGGAACGATAGACTGTCACTTCACTCCGAGAGTGACTGTTCCTCTTTAACCTCTCAACACTGTTAGGCAGATGCATTGGCTATAATATTTAGTCGTAATGCAAAAATAAAACAAAATGTTATCTGTTATATAAAAGTGTGATTCAGATGCACAAGAGTAATTTTTAATAGTACCACTGCACGGCCATGGGAACAACCCTGTTCTTCAGGAAATATCTGCTTCTATGTTTTAATGTGCATATTGGAATATTGCCATTGGCAAGAAGTAATATTCAATTGTCAGCATCATGAATCACTCTAGTATTCCCTGTCGTATGCCGCTCAGTGATCTAAACCACTGATTCCACCTTTCATGTCTTCAATCAATAGTGACTTCACCTTTGCTGAAGAAAGTTACATGATGTCAAGACACATTGTTAATCTATAATGCATGCTCTGAGGATTGTTGTTGCAGGGATTGGTTTACCTATTGCACATCGAATTTCTGTTTGCTTCTTTCCAAACCCTTGTCACGTGACCATACATGTTTTGTGAGATAAGAAACATGTTTTGATTTTTCTGTTTGATTTTAGACACCTAAAAACATTTGGATAGCAATGGATATTGTGTCCCTTTTATTCTTGTATATTCTTGTATATTCAATGGATTGAATGAATGGATTAAATATAATTTATTATATAGATAGCTTTTCCATCGATAAAAATGATGTTAAAAATTTTTATTTGGTATTTGTTGCCATATCTAATCAGGGAGAGTCTAATTCTGAAAAAAATATGAGTGGGGGTGGGGGCCCTAAGGGACAATAGATCCCCCCTCCTCATTGTCTTTTATGGCCCCCACCCGCCACTCAGGTCCCCACCCCTCATTGTCTTTCATGGCCCCACCCGCCTCTCAGGGGTGGGGGAGGAAGGGAGGACAATAGGTTCCCCTCCTCAGGTGTGCGGGCCGGGGAGATGACAATAAGATGGGACCGTGGTCTCTGCGCCCAAGCTACAGGGAGTACGGACAGTCGATCCTGCTCCCCAGCGGCAGAGTATTCTATCAGGAGGGGAGAGTCTCGTTCCCCCTCCCCAGCAGCAGCCTAGCCCACCAAGGGGAGATCATAAGCCCCACACCGGTGCAGATGGGACCATGGTCTCTGTGCCCAAACCACAGGGTGTAGGGACAGTCGGTCCTGTCCCCCTGCAGTAGGGCTGTTTATCCAAAGGGGAGATAGTCTGTCTTCCCCTCCAACAGCAGCCCCAGGTCCGGAGTGAGGAGCCTACTACGCCGTTCCCTCACCTGGGCTCCAACCAGGCTACTCCCGTGGTAGCGCTGGCACCAGGGCAGAGTACAGCTGGTCTCTGCCCACCCAGCAACCCACCGATCCAGAGTGCTAGTACCCCCCAGAGCCGAGGTGGAGCTCCTGGACCTGGATAAGTGACCCATTACTCCAGGTGTAGTAACCAATTTTCGTGGGTGGGTTATACTGCAGATTCTGTTTTGTGGGTGGGTTGCTGGACTAACCAAGGCACTGACCGACAGGAGGCCAGACACCTTGTTAGTCTTTTTGGGAAAGGGGAGAAATGTGGCAAAACCAACCTCGCCACTGGGCATTGGAGAAGCCTGTTCGCCCGCCTCCCTGCCTGCTGACTATGGCCCCTGGGAGATTTGGCCCTTTAAATAGAGTATTTGGGCATATTGTATTTTATTATGCTGCTGCTGGCCCTTTAAGAACCATCTGGGGACATACTGTGGAGTTACTGGGTGGCCACCATTTCATGTATCAGAGGCACATGGTGAGAACAATGGATGAAGCACATGGTGAGAACAATGGATGGCGGCCATTTTAACTCACAGACACTGTTTGGACTATTCTACACGGTGCCATCTCGCCGGTATTTGGTGCACAGAGACATCGTTCAGTAGTTTTAAACTATACAACAGGGGACACATTATACAGTAATTATTTTTCATATAGCCTGTATATGTTCTGCGGAATCTGCATTAAACTGCATCTTCCAAACTACTGAACGGATCTGGGTGAATTTTGGATTTGTGGTTCACACAGATCCCCCGGTTCCGAGGATATATGTGGTATATGGGGGGATAAAGAGTTAGGCAAAATGCCCTAAGCAGATTATCAGGTGCAAGGGAAATCTATATTCCACTTATAGATTTCCCTTGCACCTGATAATCTGCTTAGGGCATTTTGCCTAACTCTTTATCTCTGTTCTTTATATATACACTAACCTATAATTCCGTTTATAGGTTCTCCATCTCACTATTCCCTTATTCCTACCTATAATTCCGTTTATAGGTTTTCCATCTCACTATTCCCTTAATCCTACCTATAATTCCGTTTATAGGTTCTCCATCTCACTATTCCCTTATTCCTACCTATAATTCCATTTATAGGTTCTCCATCTCACTATACCCTTATTTCTACCTATAATTCCGTTTATAGGTTCTCCATCTCACTATTCCCTTATTCCTACCTGTAATTCCATTTATAGGTTCTCCATCTCACCATACCCTTATTTCTACCTATAATTCCGTTTATAGGTTCTGCTTCTATCTACCTCTTTATAAACCTTGTTATTCTTACCTGTAATTTCATTTATAGGTTCAACTTACTCCCTTTGTCTTTATTATTCCTTCACTTCCCTTTAAGTCCTGCTACACTTATTATTTCAAGCAGGGCCAGATTGGGCAAAAAATTCGGCCCGGGCATTTTTGAATCACGGCGGCCCACTCAGAAGGGGGCGGGGGCCAGAGAGAGTTTGTCATCACCGATAATCAAAGTGAGCATGTTGGCTCAATGCGCAGAGTTCTAACATGAAAAAAAGGCCCTGTATTTGTTCCACATAGCGCAAGCAAACATATTAACATGTTTGCACTGTGTTTGCTTGGGACATGTCTCCGGTGTCTCCATAAGTGGCATACCAAAGGACAAAAGTGTAAGGAACATGTGTTTAGAGCCTGCTTGTGGGATTGCATGTGTGTGTAGAGTTAGTTGATTGTGGTGTGGTGTTTTGTGTAAATGTCGGTTTCAGTTGTGTTGTATTTGTGTTATAATATGTATGGCTAGGGGCTGTAGAGTGAGTGAGTACAGGGGATGTAGTGAGTGCGTGTGTAGGGGTTGAAAAGTAGTGTGTTTGCTCATAGGGGATCTAGTGTGTATGGAGGACCCAGAGTGTGTGTAAAAGATTTAGTGTGTGTAGCGGATCCATAGTTCTGTAGGGGATCTATAGTGGGTGTGTATAAGGAATGTCAAGTGTTGGGGGTGGGGTGCAATGTGTGTTTGGGGTGGTGTTTTGCGTGCTGTGTGTGAGTGGGGTGTCGTGTTTCGGGTGCTGTGGAGTAAAAATAAAACGCCTCCCTGAACCTCTTGGATAGTGCACCAAATGCTCATAAAAGCCAAGTAGATTGCTTAACTGGAGGCTGATCCTTGACCCCACCTCTGCTGGTGTTACTGAAGCTGACAAGTTTCTTTGGGAATAAGACATGTGTGATATTTCTAGAATTGTGCGTTTTATGTCCCTTTTTGTCATTTTTGGGGATTTGCTGTAGTGGCCATCTCCCTCGTCAACATATTTTTAATGGTGCACTATCTGCATATGCCATTAAAAAAATGCAATTTTGTGTTTGAATAGTTTTGTGGGGGAAAACAAAGCTTATTTTGGCTTTTAGTAGAAAACACTTATGGCTTTTCTAAAACTGAGCCTCATTGTGTGTGTGTGTGTATATTATATATATATATATATATATATATATATATATATATATGGGAAAACAAGGGTCTGGCTGCACGCACCTGAACATGTCCTACTCTCACAACCAATGAGCTACTCACTTGGGGAAATCCTTCCATCTCGAGTTCTCTGCAGTACAAGGCTAAATAGGGTCCTGAGATGAGGCACCTGTGACAGGGAGGGGTGCAAAACCAAGGAGCTGGCTAGACTCCTAAATATATATATGGGTGCCTCATCTCAGGACCCTATTTAGCCTTTACTGTACTTATTGGCCCCCAGAAGCACCGCATTTAAGCATGTTCAGGTGAGTGCAGCCAGCCCCTTGTTTTCCCATATATATATATATATATTTAGGAGTCTAGCCAGCTCCTTGGTTTTGCACCCCTCCCTGTCACAGGTGCCTCATCTCAGGACCCTATTTAGCCTTGTACTGCAGAGAACTCGAGATGGAAGGATTTCCCCAATGAGTAGCTCATTTAGTAGACAGTTGGTTGTGAGAGTAGGACCTGCCAAAGATGGGGTACATTGACGTTGTGGCAGGCTTATGCAATGTATGATCATATAATGTAACTAAACCCCCATTATTTTTTGCCTAGATTAGGTGTTTTTAATAAAACTAGCAAAATCTGTCAGCACCAAAGTAGCTGTTTAGTAGATAAGGGAGTGCGCTGGATTTTCATTTTTACTATATATATATATATATATATATATATATATATATATATATATATATAAATAATATTTAAAAAAATGTTTTTATAGTTTCTCCCCCTTCTTCCCTGGTGGCCCGGTGAGGAGTGAACTCTACCCTGTAGATTGGGACATTGCCACAGTAACCGCTGCAACGCTCCAACCTCGCGGAGGAACTATCTTCTCTCTCTCTCTTCCTCCCCTGCCGGCGGCCACATCACAGTGCCTGTGGGCTGGTAGGGGGATAATTTGTCTCCCCACCGGCCCTTGAAGGCACACAGCAGGGCCGGTACTCGGATAGTGTCGGCTCTTCATGGGCCGATAGGGGAGATACACTGATCTCTCCTGTCGGCCTTGGCCCATGGCTATCGTGGCCCACTGGGCATTTGGCTGGTATGCCCGATGGCCAGTCCGGGCCTGATTTAAAGTCCAAACCATGTCGAAGTATTCCAATAAAGAAGCTAAACTTAACCCTGGTAAGTCTCTTAACTGACCTGATCAGAGCCATGACACTGGCTGTGGAGCTATCTCACCATGCCAGCTACTGCTCAGAGTTGTAAAATACATAGGTCCTTCCACTATTACAATCTTTTTCTTTTACTTAACCTGTTGTAAACCAGCATCTGTGCTTTTTGTTCGTATTTTTTTTTCTTCTTTTGTGAGACAACAGGGATGTCTGTTTGGGTTGTTCTTCTGTGTTCTCCCCCTGGAGGTTTGAGACTTTTTGGCCATGTAGCTTTCATAAGATGGTCAGTATGGTAAGGTATTGGACCAATAAAAGTATGAGATTAATAAAGTCTTTGAATTCCACTGGAAGCATGCCTTTGTGAGGGGGAGCTGTGTCTCATTCCATTAGGGCCAGCTGGCAGCTGTTGCTTTACTAACCAATGGCCATTGGCTCCCTCTGCAGCAATGTGTAAATAGTGCCATCTCATCTCAGCTTCCAACTTCAGAAAAGTAATTTCACTCAGCCAGCTGTTAATGTTCTGCTCTACTCAGAGACTAGTTTATATAGACAGAAGGCACAGGACACCAGCTGGGAAGTGCATTATAGATACACAGCCAGCTGTATGAGGAAGCAGCCATCTGATGTAAACAAAAAATAAATAAAAGGCAAAAACAATAAAAATAATAAAGGGCAATGAACTCTGGCATAAGTCAGCAAATCAGAAGCCACTTCCTTCACTCAACCCACCTGGACCTGCTATGGGACCCTCTCTTTATTAAAACACTGTTCATAGCCTTTACAGCCATAATGGCTGAGATGTAGACATTTTTCTAACCAGTTATTTGTTTTTTCATCTGTACATTTTACAGTTTGGTGTTCAGATCACCGCAACCTACTGTTTAGTAAATAAATCCCACAATAAATTGTTCTCTGTTGCCTTGCCTTGAAATCTAAATCTCACACTAAAGGCTGCTCATTATTTTTTTAATGTTCTCAATTTAGTACTCAGGGGCTCCATTTTGCTTGGATCTTCTCTGCAATGTTGGTGTTGCCATGCAACCATAGTTTAAGAGTTTTGCTTACAGAGTCTCTGTAATTGTGAGGAAACCTTTTTCATGTTAAAAAGGAGTTGTAACTGGTTACTATGTTTTTTGTTTGTTTTTTTGCCTATACTTTCTAAGATGCTTTGCAAAATGTAGCAGATATATTTTCAGTTTCTTGACAGAAAAACTTTGCTGTCCTTAAACAAACTCCTTTTCCTGACACTATATATAATCCTTAGGTTTCCCCCCCACCCACTTACCTTATCCAGCGCCAGGCTCCCTCAGCGCTGGTGACCTCTCCTCCCCCCTCGAATGCGCATGCGCGCCCAGAGCCATGCGCGGATTAAAAACGCCCATAGGAAAGCATTTCTCAATGCTTTCCTATGGACATTCTGCATCCTCAATGCGATTTTCGCATTGAGCGTCGGGGAAGCGCCTCTAGCGGCTGTCAGGAAGACAGCCACTACAGGTTGGACTAACCCTGCTATGTAAACATAGCAGTTTCTCTGAAACTGCTATGTTTACATCTGAAGGGTTAAAACCGGGGTGACCTGGCACCCAGACCACTTCATTGAGCTGAAGTGGTCTGGGTGACTATAGTGGTCCTTTAATGATGTATAAATTACATTTAACAGACCTTGCTAAGGGATATAGGTGTAAAGCAGGGGAAGCATGAAGGAATACATGAGGGATATATGTAAAAGTGAGTTGACGTTAAACAGTTACATGCTTTGCCAGGTATTAAAAGCACTGGATATCCACCCATGACACACACTCACATACACATGTACACACAGACAGATATACACACACATATTCCCCAACCCACACATATACACACAGAGATTCACATTTCCCAGCACACATATACACAGATTGTAACAATCTGCCTGGGTCGTGTTCAGTCCTGGAGCCGAGGTGCAATAACAGCTCTCCCTTACAAGCACAATGTACATAGATCCTGAGGTTGAGACCAGGATTCGGTTGGTTCAGTGATGGCACGTGGGCTTTAATAAAGTAAAAGCAAAGGTATCCAGAGAAGGGTCAAGCAGAAATCAGAGTCAGACGGTCCAGAGATCATGTCAGGAGGCAATTAGCAAGTCAGGAAACTAGAAAGGACTGCAAACGGGGGGAAGCAAATGCTAGGACTTCTGAGGCAGGGAACAAAACAACCAAGCACTGACTGAAAGGTGTGCTCGGTTTATAAAGGAGTGGCGCAATCACATAACCTGGTCTCACCTGTAGAAGGGGTTACCTGAGGTCAATGTGACTGACTGTGGGACTCATCCCCATCTTGGATACATCATTGTCCTGGCTCCGCCCCCAGCAACTCTTTATCTGTCCTGCTGACCAGCCTCCTTTGCAGTAGCCGCAATCCAGAGACGGACTGGCCCACCGGTATACCGGGAAATTTCCCGGTGGGCCGTCTGTGCTGGCGGCCGCGGGAGGAGCTGTCTGTGCTGACGGCCGCAGGGGGAGGTCTGCTGGCTGCCGCAGAGGGAGCTGTGCTCTCTGCTCTGCTCTGCTCCCCCGCCCTACTTAATGAGACTGGGGCTGGAATATAACGTCATATTCTGGCCCCGGTCTCATTAAGCCGCGTGCTGGGGAGCATAGCAGAGCCAGCACAGCTCCCCCTGCAGCCGCCAGCATACCCAGCTGTCTGCCCTGCACGACCCCCTGGCCGGTCGCCTACAGGTATCAATAATGTGTGTCAGTCACCCCTCGACTGGCCCTGCCTCTGTGGCTGAGATCATCAAGCTTGATGATCTCAGCCAATCCAATGCTTTGCCATAGGATTGGCTGCAAAATGCTACACCAATCAGCAACTCCTCATAGAGATGCATTGAATCAATGTATCTCTATGGGGAATGTTCAGCGCCTCCAGAGCGTAGAGGCCCTGAATGTAGGTGTTGCACACTGAAGAGCACTGACACAGGAAGCACCTCTAGTGACCGTCTGAGTGACTGTCACTAGAGGTGTCACTAGGAAGCAATGTAAACACTGCCTGTATTCTGAAAAGTCAGTGTTTACATTGAAAAGCCTGCAGGGACAGGCTACAGACACCAGAACCACTACATTAAGCTGTGTGTGTGTGCGCCTGATAGTGAGTGAGCTTGTGTTTTTATGTCAATGAGCTTATGTATATCAGTGAGATTGTGTGTGTGCGCATGTGAGTATGCTTACTGTATAATTAAACGTTTTACTCTGAAAGGACCAATATTTTATATTAGAAAAAGCAATATAAATTTGAGATCTCTCTCTCTTTCTCTCTGTCTCTTTTTTTTTTTTTTTTCCTCTTTTTTTTTTGTTCAGGGCTGCTTTGTATCCCCAGTCCGGCCCTACTTGTTGGTTGGAGATAGAGCAGTGAAGAACATCTTTCAGAGACTGTGGGAGGGACAACTGGGTTAAACATTCCCAGCTATGCAATGGGAGAAAGCTCTGTTGTGGCAACATAAAAGCATTGATTCCCAATATTAAGAGGCTATCTCTTACCTCATTTCACAATGGTACAGGACTCTAGCCCTTCTACACAGGATTTTATCCACATCCTCACCTAATTGAGACGTCAGGGAACTCTATCGCACATCTGAAATAAATGCCCTAAGAGTTCCTTACTGGCATATGGTGAGGGCATCAGTGACTGACTGTAATGGTAGTCACCATCACTGGGGGCTGAAGACAGACCCTTAATGGAGGTCCCCAGATTACTCATATGTTTGTCACTGTGGCAAAGCTAGCCACTTCAGATTATGTTGTTATATGTCTAATGGTTGTCCATAAAAGCTGGTCAAATTCTGTGAGTATGCGTTCGCTTATAACTGTAATAGAGGGCATTCGTATGCTGGCGGCCCAATTCGGTACAATGGCACGAATAAAGTATAAGTTACAGATTTTTATGTGAAAAGCCGGTTCTGCTGTACGGAGGGATAATTCACTTAACAGGATATTCTTGTTGGAGTATCTCTCTCGTACAGCAGTGCATGGTGGGAGAAATGTCCTGCATGTTCAGTTCCCCATGTAGTCCTCTACTGTATAACCCCTGTAAAGTGATTAAGGAAACCCCTTGCATGGAGAACCACATAAATACTGGAGCTTGTGAATAAAATCGTCAGTTGACTCCCAGAACTGTGTTTTGTCCGGTTACTGGGGGGATTTGGGATATTGCCTTCCTTTTCAGCACTTTACTTGGATTACCTTCTTTTACCAGCGGATATATGGGGATTTAATATTGCAGCTCCGCTACAGTCACCCTGTGCCCATTATAGGTACAGGGTGTGTAATGTATTTGTTTGCTAGTTATTCTCCTTGTCTCTCTCCCCCCCTCGGCATTGTCCCATTGTTCTAGAGACCCCTTTTGTCAAGTGTATAATATTAGGTGTTTTAGGAGTTTTGTGCTCTGAGATAATTGTGTAAGCGTGTCTGTGTGTATAAAAGGTAAAACAGAAAGGAAGATTATTATTTTATTATACAATAGCTATTGTGCAATCTTAGTGTGAGGCAGGTCATTCAATTATGGACTCTTGACCGAATTCTGTCCTCGACACCAAGACTCCAAGGAGTAACTTGTTTTGTTTGATGGCCGCTTGGTGTGATTACTCCTATATATACACCTGTGTTGTGTTCAATAAAATCAGTTCTACTTCACCAAGTCTTGGCTAGTGTTTGGGTGAGATTGTTATACAGTTATATCACTGTATACTCTTCCAAGGTGGAAAAGCTCCAGAAAGACCCCAGTCAAGCTGCGACGACTGGGGCAGATGCGTTCCAGGTTTTCTCCTGTGGGTGCTAGGAAGCAAGCTTGGCGGAGGTACCCAGCCGTCACATTGACGTATTTGGAGATTCTGTTACTTTGATTGCTGAGGTAGCCCTGCTACATGTCTCCTATGCCGATTTTAGCAAATAAGAAGTCTATTTTTAATTTTTTTTTTTTTATTTATTTTTTTTGCAGTGCATAAAGACAGTTACACTTTGGCTCGAGGTACCCCAACGGCAGTCCTCTAGCAACTTTTCAAACATAACATTTAAGGTTATTGAGTAACGTGCACATTTTTTATATAATACTTTGATTAACAAGTAGCTTCGTAGTATATCTAGACGTAATATATGATTTAGATTTCTTCATTGCTTAAATTTAGCTTTTTGACCACCAGGGAGCAGCGAGTCTCTGAGTTAGCCGGTTAAACAGGCAGGTATGCTTAATAACTTTGTTGATGTACATGTGGGTCTACCGGCTAGGCGCAATTGCACTAGTTCTAGGCATGACAGTATGACATAGTATACTCAGGTATAATAAGGGAGCTTGTGTCTCTTGTCTGGCGCTCCTCTCTTATTTAGGGTTATAGTCCCAAGTGAGTCCCTGCCGGTTACCATGTGAGATGTTGCCTTCAACAATGCTGGCATGAGTTGTGTGTGCAGGCTGGTTGTGCGCTCCTTAGAGTCGTCTGGTAGGCGTCTTTCGGTTCGTTGCTCCATGGCTGCCGCCATTCTCCAGCTTGTGATGGACGCGGCGGCCATTTTGGTTTTCACCATGCGATCTCTGGCTGCTCGGTTCGCCGCTCAGGAGTCGTGGGTGGTCACTGCCTCCCCGGTGGGGTCCGGGATAACCCCCCCGGCCCACGGGGGGGGAGAACGGGGCCCTCTGTAAGCGCGTGGGAGGTCCCGCCGGACTAAGCACGGGAGACCAAGAAGTCTATTTTATGACATTCGCTTAATGCTGCAAAAGACCTGATCACTGCTTTTTAGAAAATAAGAGGCTTTACATGTCTCTATTATTGTTATGAGTGCTAGGCATGCAGAGAGATGGGAGCCCAGGTTGGAGTTTCATGGAAAAGGATGCAAGTTGAGTGGCTAGGAGAACTGTTTGGTGGGGCGCAGGGGTGCCTTGACTGGGGTGCTCCCTTCATCCTGTATTCTATCCTTTTCTCCGTCTTACATCTTTTCTCACAGGTCTTGGAAGCGGGTTATACCTCCTTTTGAAGCAACACTTTGATAATGTTATTCTGGGTTCCTTTGTTTCTCACAGTTCTGTTGGATACCCTTGGGGAGGGAGGAAGGTGCCGGAAAGGTTATTTATTTATCATTCATCAGTTAATGCCTGAAGTTATACCGGTCAAAGGGCTGCATAAGATTGTACATTTACTTCGACATAGAACTTGTGTTCTCTTTGGGACTCTGTGTACTTAACCTTTATCACTCTGGATATAATGACCTCTGAGTTTTTCTTTGTACTGTGAAAATTACCTCTAAAGAAAAACAGATTTCCCAAAACAGAACTAGGATAAGCAGAGATTAGCAAGGAGGAATAAAAGAAAGAGAGAAGGAAATTAAGTTTTTTTTGTTTGTTTTTTGTTTCACTTTGTTAAAGAAACCCCACCCCTAACAGGGTTAGAAGTAGGGGTAGGGTTAGGCTTAGATTTCTGTCATCATTCCCTTAATTTCCCCTCCCTCTCCTGTTTTGCCACTATTCAGAAATCCGAAGCACTTCCGAAATTCAGCACTTCGGCAATTCTGTTCAGTAATTCCGAAATTCAGCAATTCAGAAGCATCTGAATGTCCGAATTGACGAAATTTCTCCAAATTCAAATTCGGAACGAAACGAATTGAACATGGCTAATGACAGCAGTCATAGCAGCAGGCATCAACATTTCAATAGCCACTATTAACCCCAGTGTCCATAACCTGCATTTAACCCCTTAAGGACACATGACATGTGTGACATGTCATGATTCCCTTTTATTCCAGAAGTTTGGTCCTTAAGGGGTTAAACGCTCTGCTTCAACTGATCCTGACAGACCAAGTCCTTACAAATCCTCTTAATGCCTTGACCAGTGATGTATCTTCCGCGAGGCAAATAAGGCATTTGCCTTGGGTGGCACCTTGCAGGGGGCTGCAAAAAAAGCCGCCCCCAACTGCCCAGGCAGATCCCTTGATTGCCTCGTGTCTTGGGGGCTCAAGAGCAGGCCACTTTTGAGCCACTCCCGAGGCGGGCAGCGAGGGAGCATGCTCACCTGAACTCATCCTCCTCAGCTCCGCGCGCCGCTCAATGAAGCCGGGAGCCAGAATATGACGTCACTCCAGCATCAGTAAGCGGCACGCGAGGGAGCTGAGCAGGAAAAATCAGAGCTCCCTCGCCGCCTACTCAGCCTGTCCGCCCCCTGCCTGCGCGGCAGCCCCACTGAATGCAGGTAAGTAATCCACTCCAGCTCTCCCAGGGAGGCAGGGTGGATTTAAATTAAAATGTAAAAAATATTAATTTGTGAGTGGTGGAAGTGTGTGTGTCGGTCAGTGAGTGTGTGAGTCCGTCAGTGTGTGTCCGAGTAATAGTGTGTGTCTATCAGTGTGTCAAATCAGTGAGTGTGTATGTCATTGTTTGTCAGTGTATAGGAGCGTGCGTCTGTCAGTGAGCGTGCGTCTGTCAGTCAAAGTGCGGCCTTGAGAGGAAGGGGTGGGGAACATTTAAATTAGATGGGGGTGCCTGAGCATCGTCCTGCCTAGGGCAGCACAAATCCTAAATACACCACTGGCCTTGACAACAGATATTTGGCAACCTTCTTAAACTACGTTCTTGTTTATGAAATTATAATAAACAAGAAGAAGAAATGTCACTTTTTGATTTAGTGTAATTCTGTTTATGTGTGTACTAAGTGCCGTGGTTATATGCAAAAACACAGAATATTATACACCCGCTGGAATTCTAACATTTTAAACAGAGTATTTCATCTTCCAAGAAATAAAAAGGCATCTGACGCATTTGTCGCCATGAACAAAGAATTAAGATGCTGTAGACTCCCTTATGACAAACATGTTTTAAAAATATTCACAAATTCTATCCATGCAAGAACTAAGATGCAAATAGAGTAGCACTCTATGAACACTGCAATTCACTACTACAAAAGGTTGCTGTGCAGTTGAAAATGCATGCAGTTTTATGAGATATGAAACATACATTTGCGTAAATGATCATAAGCTTTTAATTAGCAATATAATGTTAGGCAACAGTAAACACTGCAATTACAAATCTATTCCAAAATGTACTTTGGATCACAGAGCACACTTGGAAACAAAGTGCATATAACAGTATCATTTATTCTCCTAATGTGTTTAGACAATTACTAAAACCAGAAAAAAACACAAATGTTATGGGGGACTAGAATGCTAGTGAGGCAGGATATTATTTTGACTACAAAAGGGGAAAGAGGCATTGTCAAACCTCCTCAAAAATACCAAAAAATGTATTTATAAAGATAAAATCTTTGTGAAATACTCATATTGACTATGTTGGACTGAAATTCCAACCCAATCAAAAGATATACGAAGACAAAGTAGGATCAACGTTTTCTCAGCATTGTTCCTATGCTTGTCACTAGACGGAGCTACTGTCATAAAGTTGTTTCATTTCCAACTGCTTCAGGGACATTAGCTTTATCTGTTGTGGATCTCGCGGGAGCCCCCATAGAGTTTTACTTACCAGAACCTGTCCCTCGAGGACGCTGCCATCCTCTTCCAGCCGATGTTCTTCCCCTCATGGAGCTTCAACCGCCAGGAGCCGACATCACTGCTATTGTCGGCTCCTGGCGGTTGAAGCTCCATGAGGGGAGATGGCAGCGTCCTCGAGGGACAGGTTCTGGTAAGTAAAACTCACCTTTGCCTGCTGCCCACAACCATTGGACATTACAAATTTTGCGAAGTTCCCAGATGGAGACAGATCCTCTTTAAATGTATCCATCATCTATGGGGCAATGAGCTGCCCAGGTCCTGTCTCTATTCCCCAAATTATTGGTAAAGGCAGCAGATTGCTACAGCTGTAAGCCTATCCCCTCACTTGAAGTCATCACAGAAGAAATACTTTCTCCATGCCCCTCCAAGTACTGTTATTGTGTGTATAACTACAACAGATATCTAACTTGTATTAAGAAATGTTATTTTATAAGTGTAAAAAAGATGGGTTTTACTATTGGTTGTTCAATTTTGGCGCCCATTTTAAACTAATCTTATACCTATATAAACCCTAACCAGCCAGGTAGAAATGTTTGTTATCCATTGATAAAGCCCTATATTGGCGAAACGCGTTTGGATATTTTTACTGTTTTATATACTGTTAATAAAAGATTTTGGTCATTTTTACGTTTAAACCATCATCTTTTCTATTACCTGGCTATTTTATAAACATTTTATATACGTTTTATATACATTTTATACTATATACTTCTTTTATTATTTTTTTAAAGTCCTGAAAACTATACTCCAAGAATCCCAGGTGGGGATCATACCACCCACGCTGTTACATAGAGCAGTTAGCCTGCCCTATACATTGTGAGTATATTTTATCTATTTTATTTTATTATCAAGATTTTATTGAGAGCACTATCGCTGTTTTACTTTCTCTCTGAGCTCCTGATATTCCGGTCAAGATCACTCATCATATATCCTAGAAGCGGGGATGATACCGCTGTACGCCTAACCAACTAGAGCTAGTCAAAGCTCTACCGAATGTGAGTGTATCCATCATATTTTATATAATTTTTTATACAAGTGTAGAATATACTGCACCATTACTGTTTTTATTTTATTTTTCCCAACTTCGACCACCCGGCACTACAAAGATGAGGACACCTGCCGTATATCCTATAAGCGGGGATAATACCGCTGCAAGCTATCCACACCAGAGTTGGATTAAGCTCTGCAAATTGTAAGTAAGATCTTTCCTATTTTTCACATATTTGGACTACTCTCCACGACACCGACATCTTCTGGATACCACCAAAAGTAGAACTTTGTACACGATAATATACATCCTATTGGACTCAATACTCAGTGTACACATCGGCGCAGACCCATCCCCTCATCCTTTCTTGCTCTTTATCATTGATTTTCAAGGACACTAGAGGGAGTCCTTGTTTGGGACTGCTGCCTTCCCGATTAGCGCTGACTCTACCCCCTGTTCTGTTAAGTCTCTACATTTACCTGTTACAGCACTCTCATTGGTTGGCTTAGAATCAACCAATCAATGTCATGATCTTGTGCAGGTCAGATAGGAGACGTATGCCAGGGTTGTTATTTGAGACTTTATTTGTGCTTTTAGACATATTATGCAAATTGAGGAAAAATAGACTTTAGGCAATATGCCACAAAACAGGATACTTGCAAATAAAGAAAGTCTCTGATCTCCAGGTAGGTTTGAAACAAAGGAAGGCTGTTAACAGAGGCAGGTTTGTAACACAGGAAGGCTGTTAACAGAGGCAGGTTTGTAACACAGGAAGGCTGTTAACAGAGGCAGGTTTGTAACACAGGAAGGCTGTTAACAGAGGCAGGTTTGTAACACAGGAAGGCTGGTAATAGAGGCAGAGGTCAAAATCATACGGGAGAGTGGAGCAGGTTTGAAGGCAAGTCTGGAGCAGGTTGGTATGGAGCAGGGTAGAAGGTAAGTTTGGATCAGGTTCACAGGAGCCAGGAACTGAAGTCTTTCAGGTAGATCACCAGCTTCAGTTGTAAAGGCCCGGTTGTGAGCAGGATGTAGCTGAAGCAATTAATTAGTCCTAGGCAGGTGAGGACTGAGGTGACTAGTGGCTAGGGAGGCCACTAGTGGTTGAGAGCCGGAACTTCTTTTAAAGGTACAGAAACAAAAAGGAAGATAAAACATAGCTGTCAGGATACGATCCTGACAATCGGAGTGTTATGAGTCAAATTACACAGCATGGAAGATTCCAAAAAACTTTCCCACGCTGTGTAAAATGACTTACCTGTCAGTTTCTTCATTTACCTGCTTTATTCTTTT